GCTGGGTACAGGTTCGTAAACCTAAACATATTTGGGTCCAGATTTGGTACGGGTTACGGGAAAAGGGAATCCGGAGGTTAGGGCTCGGTCAGAACCGTGATTCGAACTTTCTTTAAGAGCAAAGGAAAAAAAAGGAATATAAATTATGATCATGAAATTTATAATTCGAATTTTTTTAAAAATTTTACCAGAATCAAAAATAAAAATGGTCATTATGATTTCCTTTCTCAATTGCTCTCCTTTCGAATAAGAAATTCAAAGTCAAACAGAGAGTCTTATCATAAGGAGATAAATTAATCAGAATTATTGTAAAATTCAACTTTTGTTAGGATCCATATTCGAAATTTTTTTGGAAGGACAATGACTGAGCACTTTTTTAAAGCATATTTCGATTATATTTATTCTGGTATCTTTTTCTCGTGTGCTAATATAAGTGTCAAAACTGAAAAAGTATAAACAAATTGTTAAATTCATGGATGAAACCAAACGAGGAATATGAATTTTCCAGATATAATTATGGAAATTTTACTTAATTTAAATATTTAAAAATACCAAATATATTTATTTTCAATTAAAGAATATCGCCGCTTCAAAATGTGTGACCATAACAATTCTTTTTAAATGTAATAATAAAATCAATCAGCTCTTTCGAAATTAATACATCTGTTAAAAGAAATTAAGAGTACATAAAAAATGTATAAAATATAAGACGCCCACCTTTAACAGGTTTAGGGCCCTTATATTCAAAAAATGCTACAACATAATATAAATACTTTGCATAGTATACACTAATTTAAATCTCAGGTTCATATTGCGCAAGCGCTAAGGTTTGTCGGCCACTATAATCCCATAAATATTCTGGCATTAGTTGCTTTCCGGCGGTTTGGTTGAACATCATTGTCTAAATGTATAAACAGTTATAATATTCTAGTATAAGGTATTCTTGTTTCCAAGCTGTTGAACATCATTGTCGAAATATATACGAAGTGACCCATACGATTGCACCTTAGAATATGAATTAGGTATTTTTAAAAAAATATATAAATATTTTATTGTGTTACATATTAGTAAAACATAAATAATTTTTTGGTCAATTATTGCTCTTTGTATTTTCACTACTAATTTGATTAAATCATTTAAATTAATTTGATTAAATCATTTAAATCGTGAAATTATTTTGTATAATAATATTAAAAATGATGAGTTAATTAAAATATCTTGTATAACTAGTTATTTTAAAAGGGAAAATTGTAACTATAACTAATGCTTTAAAAAAAATTAAATTGCAGCATTTAACAATATAGTAATAATAAGGAAATTTTAGTAATATTTATACTTTTATAAAATATAATTCACATAAAGCATAAAACAACAAATTTAGAAATTTTCTATAAGGGAGAACGGGTGATTTCAAATGTCTAATTGGTCCTGCACCTCCATCAAACAATCTTTTATAATTGCTTTTTCTCTCTCAATGGGACTTGTACAAGCGAACGTAGTTTTTTATACAATGAAATGTGTTATAAATTATCTTAAATCAGCTATGCAATATGTGATAAGAGATTATCATCATTAAATTGTGCATGGTGAGTTCGGACAATGATTAAAAATTAAGAGTAGTTCAAAAGGTGGCGAAATTCACATTCCGGTAAAATTGGATCTTTCAAAATTAAAAGAAAAAGAATTTAAGTTTAAAATTCTTAGAATTTAAGGCAATGAAGCAGATCATTTAAATTTATAAAACCTCCTACGCCCAACATAAAGTTATTAAAAGGCGAGTATAATGAGTGTGATAAATTTAAAATTCTATTTTCTATGCATACAAATGTTGAGACATTTTAGCGGAAATAAAATTCATTCTCGATAACAAATAATGAAGGGAATAGTTATTGTTATATTTAAGCAATTTATTGATATTCTTAAGTGTAATAAAAATGATTTATAACGCCACAAGAAGCCTTAGGTTATTAAAAATAAATTTATTGCATTTTATAGCCAATTAATTTAATACAAAAAATCTATCTATCTTCTAAATTTAATAATTTAATAATGCATTTTTTTTATCTGTTATTTTTTGAAAAATAAGCTATCAAGCATTTTTTCAAAATTGGTGCTTATTATTAAATAGGGGGTGGGGGGTATTTGGTACTATGAGCCTGCTTAACCCCTCATTCACAGTTAGCACGAATTAGCGACCAAGTATACTAAACGCGGCAAAAAATACAAAAAATACAGCATATTTTGTATGCTTCGAAGCGAATTTAGGCAAACTGTGAATGCAGGGTACACTGGCTATATTATAAAGCTATACTACATATTATATAATTATAAGCTTGCGAAAAATATTCCTTTGGGAGCTTCGGGCTATGTCCCTAAAATTATTATTAGTTCGACCCATATTTAATCTACGCTTTCTTTTTATAGGTGTGTTAAAGGGGTCCATATATATAGATTATTCATTAAGAAGTTAATTTGTGTTCTTTATCTTTGTCAAAAATGAATCTAAGTGGCTTTTTTTGCTTTCTCTCTAAAATGAATATATCAAAGCTAATTCAAAAAAGTAATTGCGATATATTTATCATTATAATTCAATAATTTTTCTTTTTGAATTTAATGAGACTCTTTAAGTTTTTAAATAATTTTTATATAACTCTTATCGAACAAAACTCTCAGGACGTGTCTCTGACTAGCTTATTTCTTAACAGAAATTTGTTTAAGGCGTCTATATAGCTTCTCCTAAATAGAATGTAAAAATAAAGAGTTTATTTAGATTTAGGACACACTTAAAACAAAAACAGAATAAAATCTGAAGAGACTAGTAAAAACAAGCCTCAAATTTTATTATCTTAAAATGAAAGTCAATAAATGTTAGGATCCTATCGAATTTATTTTCCAAGGATAACGAAAGTTAAGAAGCAAAAGCTCACACCCTGGCCCTTTCCAAAAAAATATATAATTTTTTTTATATTATTGTAAGTCTGGCGCCAATTTTTTGCTGGGCTTTTCACATCTTTTGCAGACCCTTAAGTTCTAGAGTAGGGAAGACTGGGGTTATGTAAACCTCGGAGATTGGCAAACCATTTAATCTCCCTTTAAAATTAAATACACCAGAAGGTTAAAATTTTATCCTAATATAGTTTGTATTAGTTTACATCTTTAGACAAATTATTTTTTGAAATAATTATTTATTAAAAAATAAAATTTTGATGAAATTTTCTACTGATTTTTAGATGACAGAATTTTAATTTTTATTAAAATATATAATCATTTATATGTAAATTAAATTTTATGTCAAAGTTTTAACACTCTTCTATAATTTAGGAAAGTTTTATGAGTATTTATTATATCTAGATATTATTTCAATCATGATTTGTCAATTTAGAGATAGCGGGGTTAGTTAAACCATACACGTTAATTATGGCAGCAAAATCTTGAAAATGCAATCATGGCTGTTTATGATTGGCATTTAGGATTTATGCTAAGAAATCATAATATCTCCTTAAGATCCTTATTTATGTCCAAAATGTTTATAATTATCCAAAATTATGTTTCAATTTTTATATAAAATTAGCTTCAATTTATAAGTGTTATAATATTTTGGACAATAAAACAATAAAATTATTCTATACATGTCATTATTAATATATAAAAATGTATTTCAATTTATTGTGGCCTAAAAAACCAATGGTTTAGGAAGCCCCTTGAAGTGGCCTGCCTCACTCCGCTATTGGGGTTTATTGGACAAAATTTTCACTTTTACAAAAAATAAAATTTAAAAAAAAAGATTTTATTCTTAAAATTGCTTATAAGGCACCTTTATAGAATATAGTTTTAGGTATCTAATTATATATTATTTTTTCATTATCTAAAAAAAACCAGGAGCTATAGCTAATTTTATAAAAATCGATTCCACTAACCCCAGTCTCCTCTATTTTATAAAAATTTTAAATGTAGGGTTTACATTTATACATAACAGCAATACATGACACAAAATTCAAACTATTAAAATAATAGATTATAAAAAAAATAAAATAAAACCATGTTTCTAGTTGCTACCTGCTTGCTATATTATTGTAATATATTATAAATTATTATAAAATTTTGAATATAAATTTAATAAAGTCTCCTAGAAAGGAACTCTAAATTTGTTTTTATGTGTGATAGATTGATTTTTATAAATTTATCAACTTGTGATAACATGTGAAAACCTATGAAACATGAAAGATGGAATGATTCTTGTGGCACAATGCTTGATTTGGTACACTCAGAGTTATCTAGATAAGAAATAGAACTTAATTCAATACTCTATATTCTGTTACTTTAAAAAGTGCAATTATAGAATTATTATTAAATTTATATCAAAAGTTAGCATAATATTTAAAAATAAACTATAAACTAGAAAGCTGTAAATAAGCGAATTTAAGCTAAAAAAGAGAAATTAAGAAAACTTTTTAGGTTCTTGAAAAAGAAACAATTGTGTTCAAAAATTTATGATTGAGTATTCTGCCTAAAGAATAAAACATCATTTCGCCCTCTTCAAAATTAAAAATTTTTAGGATGATAAATAATAATATTATATTGTAAAAAATATCGCCATTAAATATTATAAAAATTAATTGATTCAATATTCATGTTTCTACTCAGAAAAATAATCATAAATAATTTATTCCATGATGGCTTCCAAAATTAGCATTAGCATGGAGGAAATTTTTTTTATAAAATTTAGAAAAAGGGGATATACAGATTTTGTTGTTTAAACTCGATAAATCGGTAAATCCCCTAGAACTAACAATTTCAGAATAAACAATTTGTGTACCATTTTTCTATTTTGAAACTTGACTTTTAAATAATGATCAACCAATAATAAATGGTTAGAAATTCGGACTGTTTTAAGCATATTTTGCCTTTTTTTAGAAAAAAAAAAATTATTATATAAAAATTATTATTATTTTATTGATTGATTTTTTAATAAATTTTTTATATATAATATTTTGTTTATAATTTAAGATATTATTATTATATTATTATAGAATACTAAATTTAATAAGTAAATTTTATTTGAGAAGATTATGTAAATATTTGATTCTTATTTTCTTAAAATCAGGTAAAAAAAAAATTGATTAATTTTTGTATTTAATAATATTATTTGATATTTCGGTCATTACTCATTATAGTCATTGCTGGGAAAAGTGAAGCAAGGGAGGAGATAAAGTTTAGTTTTACTATTAAAAAGTTATAAACTAATTATAAAATGTAGTATATTTATTTAATATTTTTTTTAAAAAAATCATGTTAAGCTCTAATAAAATTTAATGAATAAAAATATATTTCAAAATCAATTAACATTAAATTTTATTTTAACTCTCCACGGGTTAGACGTTCCAGGATTTTCTCGAGGGAAAACATATGGATGGATTCGTCATCAGATTCCCCCCCCCCCTTTTCTTAGCATGTGTGGTTCTGTTACACTAAATTTTTTTAAAATAATATAAATTTTTACCACTTGAATTTTTTTTTCTTTTTACTATAATCAATATTAACTATCAATATTTTGTGGGAAATTTTCATTATCACAACGATTTTATAACTTGCTCATTTTGTTAAATTAGATTATAAAATCTTTTTTAATTTTAAGTGAATTAATTATAAATACATTAATTTTTTTTAATAAGAAAACCAATTTTTAAATTTAATTTTTGAGTGTCTCAAAATTTCATTAGAATAAATTTTTAGCTGTTCTATCATTTTTTTCTTTTTTTATATCCCGAAATTTTACACTGTATATTGTTTTTCTTGAAATATAAAATCTAATATTATAGTTAGTTTTTTTAAAAAAAAATTAATTTATTGTTAAATTGAGTCGATTTCTAAAAACGACAGGATTAAGATCTTAACCAAAATAATTTTATTATATGTAAGCCTATAGATTTCGCTCATAAATGGCAGATAGATTTGGACCTCTATTTGCAAAATCTGAGACATAATATTATTTTGACTCTTAATCGAGTCGATTTTAAAAATCGACCCAAATCGAACTTATTAGCAGGTTATTTATAAATTATAATTCCTTACTTTATTTAATTTTTGTTTGATAGACTGGGTTGTAGGGGTACAATTACCAATTTTTGGTTTCTAATATAAATTTGCTAAGATAATTTTCTGCCCTCCCTTCCCTACGCGAATGCTATATACCTTATTTTGTCTATAAAAATCAGTAAGAAAACATGCAAAAAAATGAATTTAAATCAGAAACCTGCAGAGGTACCAACTCGGCCCCTCCCGGATTTAAAAAAAAATTTCTGCCCAGATTTTTTTAAAATTTATAATATTTATTTTTAATTTTTATAGATAATAATGGCAATATAAAATATTCGGCCTGGCCAGCCCGGGTTTTTAGGCCCGGCCCGGGTAAAAAATGATGGAATGGGCAGGGCAAATAAATTATTGGTCTGGATTATTGATGAATTCTGATTTTTGATATAAGTGATAATCCATAAAGTGTAGTGTCATGAATGTAATCACTCCCCAATATTATAAATAGCTGTTTATTTTGGTGTTGAACTATAAAAAATCTGAATTAGGCCTTATATTTAAAAAATAACAGGACAGGGCTGGGCAAATTTAGTAAAAAATTGGAAACGGGCCAGGCCGAGTACAAATTTGGCAAGACCGGGCTAGACCTTAAAATTTTGCGGTTTGCATATCTCTGATTTTAATTAAAATTTATACATAGAATCAAATTTTACAAGGCTCTCCCAAGTTTTTAGCCCCCCCCCCCTTTCCCCAACGATGTTACTGGTTAAACCCTATATATTAAAAATGCACGGAACTCAGTAGAAAAATAGAATAAAATGAAACTTCTGAAAAACACAGTCAAAACAAATTTAATTAATTTATCTTTGCATGTTGAAAAACCCCGCTGTGGAAAGGTCAAATTTCTATTTTGGCTAAGTCATGCCATCTCAAGGATTTCTATTCCGAATTTTTGATATGATTTTCTTACTTTTTATTCCTAATTTTGTCTGATAAACGAAGGTAGGAATGTAAAGATTTTCATAAATTATAAAAAACGCTATCATTTTTGTAGTCGAGAAAACTCTTCTGAGATGATCGTTTTTAATGTAAAAAAAACAAAAAAAAATTAACCGATAAATTTCAAATTTACTTTTAATTCAAAAAATAAATAAAAGGGAGGTCGTGCAAGTAGACCAAACTTTCCATCCTTTTGACATTATCTTCTTTTAAAACAAATTTACCCCGGTTTTTGTTATATATTTGAAATTAAACATGGAGATTAAGTTTGATTAGATTTTGGTAAATGTTTTGTTGTTATTAATATTTTCTCTGAGAGATTCGCGGGGGCGGGGCTTTTATTGAAACTACATTTTATAATGAAAAAAATTCTTCGATTTAAAAAAATAATATATTATTTAATCTAGACAATTTATCTCTAAAAAAATATTTGTCATTCATTATTATGGGTCTTTTTTTGATATTCTGTAGGGAGTTAATTATTCCACGAATATAATTTCCAATAATTTATTGATTATGATTAGTTTTTTCTTGTTTTATTCTTATATTATAACTTAATAAAAAAATATTTAATAAAACATATTATCCATACTTAAATCCAACATAATTTCTCCAAAAAAATTTAATTTAATATTCTTATTTTCTTTAGAAAGGCTTTTTTCTATAATTCCTTATCTCATAGTATTTGAAAATAATAATATTAAATAATGTAATGCATTAATGCATAAAACAAAATACAATTAAATTTTTGAGGAGGATTAAATTAACGTTGCATCGCCTTATCTGCTATCCTCTCTCGTCTGTTTTTTTTTAAATATTAAAATTGTAGCATTCGTAAAATAATGATTCGAATTAAGGGACCTCTTCATCGATTATTTCATATTTATTTGAATACTCTATACCAAAATTAAGAGATTATGCTCAAGTGAAAGATAACCGCTATTCATTTAAAAGCGATAGCAATAGACTAATATTAGCATACATCATGCCTTTACCACACAAGTATTGTAATAATATTACAATTTTGTACCTAAAATATTTATGCTCCGGAAGGCCGTTGGCGGGCCGCCAAAATTTTTGATCACGCCGAAACGCTGCCATTTCTGAAAGTCACACCCGACGCATATTTTTTTTCCAAATAATTTATATTCTATATATATTTTTATTCTAATGATTGATCTCACTGTTATAATTGTAAAATGTTATCAAAGAAATTGCCTAAATACAATAGATCAACGTCGGATATGCTAGATCTTGATACCACTTATCCATATCCTGATACCCTTTTTCAATTGCAACTATGATAATAACAATAATTCCACTAAAATAAGAACATTAATTTGCCTAAATACAATAGATCAACGTCGGATATGCTAGATCTTGATACCACTTATCCATATCCTGATACCCTTTTTCAATTGCAACTATGATAATAACAATAATTCCACTAAAATAAGAACATTAAAATTAAATATCCCAACCAGTAGTAATATTAATTAGGCTCGAAAGTATATCGGTAGCTAATAAAAATCGAATTAATAATATTTTGAAAAGAAACATTATTTCAAACTTTAAAACTATGAATTTTAGCCAAAATAATATTATATAAGCCTACGGATTTGGCAGATAGAGGTCCAAACCTTTCTGCATCTTTGAGCAAAATCTCTAGGCCTACATAATATTATTTTGGCTAAAATCTTTATCGGGTCGTTTTTAAAATCGACCCGATAAGGGCGTTTTAACAACCCTACTTTAATGCCAAAATCGAAATAAATTTATAAATTTATGATTTTTTAAAAAAAGGCTAAGAATTTGATAATAAATTTATTATTTTTTTAAAAAAGGCTAAGAATATGATTTATTTTTTGTTATTAATATTATCTTAAATTTGGAAAATTATTTATTCAAGATACAAGGTGAATGATATAGGCAAAAAAATAATAATATTGATAAAAATTAGATATATTTTATCAATTTTTAAAAGTCTGGTTTTTGAAATCAACTAGGAAGCACTCCTTGGATATTATGATTATTATTCCTCTATGATGAAAAAATGCTTACACCATAGTCTTCACTAATACATAAACCTTATGTGTGTGTATCAGTAGAGTCACTTAAGTGGGGACGCACATCAAGCTTCTTAATTTGAAGAGAGATCCTTTTAGCTAAAAAAAAAAAGAAAAGAAAAAGAAGGTCATTTGAAAATCTGATTTTTTGAGCCCATTGAGATTGTAAAGGCTAGTGACACCACTGGTGGTTATACTTTAAATTGCCTTCATCTAAATTGAGGTTATTTTAAATTTATATACTAATTTCAGACGGACAAACCAGATTAAAAAAATACCGTTTTAGTGAAATAAATTGTTAGAATGTGCCATATAATATTATATTTCATATAAAGAGTTTAAAAAATGTGAAGAAGAAACAAATTTGACTCCGGTGCTGAGAAACTAAAAAAAAAGAAGCGAGAGCGGAATTTATTGATTCTCAAAAAGGGACTTTTTTAAAACACTTTTAAAAAAGATACAATGCGCCAGATCTGAAATGCGGGAAATAATCGATATAGATAATGAACACATTGATATATTGAATCTTTTAATGTATTACTCGATCAAGCGAAGATTTTGGTTAGAAGAACGTTTTCAATAGTTAAAACTTTTTAGGATCATTTTGGGCTTTTATTTGATATACCTTCATTGGTAAATGCGCCCGAAACAGAGCTAAAGGAATATTATAGTTAATTAAATATTTTATTAACGGATCAAAATTCATAGGAAAACAATATGTATTCTAGATCAATTAACTGAATAAAAATTTTTAATAAATATATTGTACGTATAAGCAGACCATCAAATTATTTTGGAAATTTTGCGCTTATATTTACAATAATAGGAAGTCCTGCCAAATGTAGCAATTGTTTTGGGGATTATTCCAACCATTGCAATTACAGTCGCATCGGCTGAATACAGTTTTTTAATGCTTAAACTAATCAAGACTTACTTTAAGATTCTGCATGGGGTAAGACCGCCTCGTAAACCTATTCCTAATTTCAATCGAAAATGACACTGCATC